GTCTCCCTCTGTCGCTAGGCTGGAGTGCGGTAGCGCCATCTCGGCTCACTGCAACTTCCGCCTCCCGGGTAGTGATTCTCCTGCCTCAGGCCTCCCAAGTAGCTGGGACTAAAAGCATGTACCACCATGCCGAGCTAATTTTTCTATTTTTAGAAGAGACAAGGTTTCACTGTGTTGGCCAGGATGATCTCGATCTCTTGACCTCATGATCTGCCCACCTCGGCCCACGAAGTGCTGGGATTACAAGCGTGAGCTACCTCACCCAGTCAAAACTTCAGTTCTCTTCTCTCCCATGAACCCCCACTTCCCAGTCTGAACACTGGCCCAAGAAGCCTTCAGGAATACCCCTCCTGTCTTCTGCGCTTCTCATTACTTCACTGTCCCTTATCTGCCCTTTACCCCAACTGCCCCCCTCAAGCCCGGTCTGGTTGTCACCAAGGCTGCGAGGTGATTAGAGAATCCCACATCATCCTCACCTGGAACCCTCCCTCCTTCACCTCTGGACTCCTAGGAATGAACCGCTGCACACCTCTGCCCCACCTGGCAGGGCCTGCAGGGCCTCCAGTGAAAAACCTGTGAACTGTCGAACCTCCTGTTTGGTGGCATAGTATTTTGATTTTGGTGACCTGTTCTTGGAATAAGTCAACAAATATTAACTGAGTGCCTACCACATGCCAAGCAGTGGGTTGGGCTTTTCAATCAAAAATCCATGTTTGGGTAATTTAAGCTTAAAATATTGTGCAAACAGGCTGGACGCAGCAGCTCATGCCTGTAATCCTAGCACTTTGGGAGGCCGAGGTGGACGGATCACTTGAGGTCAGGAGTTCAAGACCAGCCTAGCCAACATGGCAAAACCCTGTCTCTACTAAAAAAGATTTTAAAAATTAGCCAGATGTGGTGGTGGGTGCCTGTAATCCCAGCTATTTGGGAGGCTGAGGGATGAGAATCGCTTGAACCCAGGAATCAGATGTTGCAATGAGCCGAGATTGCACCGCTACACCCCAGCCTGGGCAATAGAGTGAGACTTCATCTCCACAAAAAAAAAAAAGTTGTGCAAACATAAAATGAATCTTCATATATGGGGGGGACTTGATAGACTAGCTACAGAAATAATTTTCAGTGTATCTTCCTGGGAAAATGAGCCACAGTATTGCAGCTTGAGTTTTGGAAAAGAGCTGAAGTGTCTTGAAGGTGTAATTATGGGGAAAAGTAAAAACCTCCCACATTCTGTGATCAAAAGGGTCAGAGGTGGGAGGAGGGCTTGGAGGAGATAATTTGCTCTTCTGCTCACAGCATGAGTATGGATGGAGGACTGGAGATGAGTGTGTGTTTGATGGAGAGAAAGTGCTTGTGAGGAAGAAAGGACAGTCATTGGGCCAAACAGCCTCTCAGCCCCATTTCCCCAACCAGTAGCTTGAAATTGACCTGCCCCCTCCCCAGTATGATGTCTAGCTCCACACACCTGTGCCCGTGGTGAGAGTGGTGACAGTCATCACTTTCCGAAGAAACTTGTAATTGAGCCCTCCTCTGAGTAACTTGAGCAAATATCCCTGTGGTGAGGACTGCTTGCTTCCTGCTGCCACGTCTGAGGAGGTGACCAGCTCAGCTGATAAACAGAAAGAAACATTGTTACAAAGAGGCCACCTGGCCAGCTAGGGCGTGTTCTGGGTGGCTGACTGGCATTCACAAAAGCCAAGACTTTGCCTGGGACTTCCAGTTTCCGCATCTTTAAAGCATTTGTATCCTTGAGCGGGCGCAGGGCAAATGCCAGGAAGGGGATCAACAGGTGGAGTGGGGGAGACTCAGGGAGTACAGGCCTGGTCCCCAAATTCCCATTCAACTTCCAAGGGTATGAGTGTGGTAAACAGAGTAGTGGGCTAAGAGTTGAGAGATCGGGTTCTATTCCTGGGAGCCACTAGCTAGCTGTGTGTTGCTAGAGAAGTCACCTAACCACTCTGGCCTCGCTGATGATAAAATGAGGGTGTTAGACTCACAGACAGACCTGGTCAAAACAGCAAGCTAATGTGTAATGGCAGACTATCCTGTAATTCAAGTAAGTGCAGTAAGTTCTTGCAGTAAGTGCATCGAGAACATCATTTAGTGAAGCCAGTGCTCCACATTTAACCCCTCCAGCCTCATCTCATTTGACAAGAGTTATTAGAACTAGCCAGATCAGGCCGGGCGCGGTGGCTCAAGCCTGTAATCCCAGCACTTTGGGAGGCCGAGGCGGGTGGATCACGAGGTCGAGAGATCGAGACCATCCTGGTCAACATGGTGAAACCCCGTCTCTACTAAAAATACAAAAAACTAGCTGGGCGTGGTGGCGCGTGCCTGTAATCCCAGCTACTCAGGAGGCTGAGGCAGGAGAATTGCCTGAGCCCAGGAAGCGGAGGTTGTAGTGAGCCGAGATCGCGCCATTGCACTCCAGCCTGGGTAACAAGAGCAAAAACTCCGTCTCAAAAAAAAAAAAAAAAAAGAACTAGCCAGATCGGGTGGCATCCACCTCTGTGGTCCCAGCTACTCAGGAGGCTGAGACAGGAGAACTGCTTGAGCCTGGGAGGTCGAGGCTGCAGAAAGCTGTGTTCATGCCACTGTACTTCAGCCTGGGTGACAGAATAAGATCCTGTCTCCAAAAAAAAAGTTTATGGAACACCTGCTATGTGTAAAACTTGTGCTAAACTTTGCAGGTGATAAAAAGCTGAAAATAGCATGGCCTCTTCGGTCCAGGAATCCACAAACACGTGAGGTCTAGAAGAGATTCCTTCGACACAAGGTGGGCTATGATGAGACTGGAGTACAAATAAAACTCGAGTCCTAACAGGGCAAAGCAGGAAGAGATGAATTCTGCTGGGAGATCTGAGAAGGCTTTTTGGAGGGGAGCTAGAATATAAACTGGGGGGTTTGGACTGTGTTACTGGCTTTCAAACTTCTATGACTGGAGCAAAGTGAGAAATATACTTTACAGCCAGACCTAGTCTCTGTATATATGTAACACGGCATCCCCAAAATCTTAGGGCAGTTTATACTTTAATCATATTACAAGCATAAATTCTACAAATAATAAAAAACTATCACTTGAAAATTTAATCATTTAAACTTGTCTTTAGTTGTATGAATTTTGAATAACAAATTTATCATTTTAATTTTGTATCAGGCAGTGTGTATCTTTAATAGACTGAAACAAACATTAAAATAAAAATTTATTTTTCAGGCTGGACTTGGTGCTCAAACCTATAATCCCAGCACTTTGAAAGGTCAAGGCAGGAGGATTGCTTCAGTCTAGGAGTTGAAGATCACCCTGGGCAATGTAGTGAGACCCCCATCTCTACAAAAAAATTATAATTAGCCAGTTGTGGTGACACACACCTGTGGTCCCAGCTACTCCAGAGGCTGAGGTAGGAGGATCCTTTGAGCCCAGGAAGTCAAGGCTGCAGTGAGCTGAGATTGTGCCACTGCGTTCCAGCCTGAGCAATCAAGTGAGACCCTATCTCCAAAAAAAAAAAAAGAAAAAAGGAATACTTACCTATGTTGCTTGTGATATGTGATGCACTTTGATATTTTCTTTTTCATTCTATTCTGTTTTTTTTTATTTCAATTTTTTTTTTTTTTTTTTTTTTTGAGACAGGGTCTTGCTCTGTTAGGCTGGAGTGCAGTGGCACAATCATAACATAAAACTCACTGTAGCCTCGACCTCCTGAGCTCAAACATTCCTCCAGACGTGGCCTCCCAAGTAGCTGCGATTACAGGCATGTGCCACCACGCCCAGCTAACTGGTCTTCTGGCCTTTTTTTTTTTTTTTTTTAAGATGGAGTCTTGCTCTGTTGCCCAGGCTGGGGGACTCCTGTTGCCCAGGCTGGGGTGCAGTGGCATGATCTCTGCTCACTGCCACCTCCGCCTCCTAGGTTCAAACTATTCTCCTGCCGCAGCCTCCCAAATAGCTGGGATTACAGGCACCTGCCACCATGCCTGGCTAATTTTTGTATTTTTAGTAGAGATGAGGTTTCACCATGTTGGCCAGGCTGGTCTTGAACTCCTGGCCTAAAATGATCTGCTCACGTCAGCCTCCCAAAGTGCTAGGATTTCAGGTGTGAGCCACCATGCCCAGCCCTAACTGGTCTTTTAAAGAATTTTTTGAATGCTGATTTGCAACACCCTAAATTTATTTTATAATATCGCAGTGGATTGTAATCAGCAGTTTGATACAAGCTGGGCTGGGTAAAGCCTCAGTTCCTTACACCAGTGAGAGAAGGTAAGTTTGTGTTCTGGCTGATGGGGCCAGGGAAGCAAGTCCCATTTGTTCAATGTAGGCAGGCTTCTCAGAGGATTCCTAGCGTCATCTTGGCATTGAAGCCAAGATGGTCTGAGGAGTTGCAGGCCCAGGGGTAGCTGGAGGAAGAAGACTTGGGAAGAAATGCTGAGCAACAGCGAGAGGGAAATGAGTGGATGGGGGCTAAGAGCACACTTGCCAGGAAAGCAGGAGGCCAGGTGTGGGAGCCCAGAGGTCAGGGAGCTACGCAAGACACCGGGGGCAGATCTCGTGAAGCTCTGCACTTGGCACGGTACTATCACAGTAGCTATTCTTTCTCCAAGGCTGGCAGAGGGGTGACCTCCAAGACCTTGCTAACCACACTTCTGGGAATCATCTCCTACACAGGGAGCAAAAATCCTTAACCCCAAAGTCCTGTGGCTCCCACTGGATTCTGGGTCTCTTCTAAGGGACTCTTTCCTGTTGCCCTCATGCTGAGCAAACAAACTAGAGAGCAAGTCCCTCACCACCAAGGCTAATCCCAGGTGTCTCGTTTCGGTTCAGGATGTGGTTAGTACCTTGAGGAACTGCAGGTTTCAGAGAGAAAGCTTCAGGCAGCCAGACAGGATCTAGAGAGCAGATGCCTAGGAAGAGCTTAATTTAACCCTAGATTTCTTTCTCCAGGGAAAATAAAAAGGAGCAAAGACAAACCCCACTGCACGGGACCACGAGGCACTGCCAGGATGAGGGAGTTGGAGTAACCTGGGTGATTCTGAGTGAATCAGTCAGGGAGGCCTTCCTGGAGGGGGGTGAGTCTTGAGCACTGGCAACAGCTAATAACTACAATGTTACCACATCTTTGTTTCTAACTGTGCTCCCTTGTGCTGGAGTGGGAAGGTAGCAGGGAAGATGCAGCCTGCGGACCGATCAAAGTTGTCATGGCATATACTCCCCCATTCTGCAGGCCTCTGTGTTTGTGTGGGCTTAGCCAGGACAGTTCCAGAATGATGAGGTGTCTAGCTCTAGTGAATCTTCCCCTGTCCTGGCCCCGGCATAGCTCAATCCCTGTGACAAGAAACTCCTGCTCACTGGATTCCCATTTCCTCCCTGAAGGCTTCCTCAAGCCCACAGGGAACTCGACCTTTCTCAGCTTAGCACTTACTCTCTGTGCTATTCTCCTTTGATTTTAGTAATTTTTGAATAAGTAGTATAGTCAGGGTTCAGAGTGCAAGATGGTATTCAGTGAAAGGTCCTTTTCCTGCTCCTGAGATCCCCCTGGACAGGTGCTTCCTTGACCTGCTCGGTGCTACCAGTTCTTGTTCTCCGACAAGGTTTTCAAATCCCTTGGGGAAAGGAATTGAGCCTTTGTGTCCTTCTGTGTACCAGATGAGGTAAACTGTCCCACCCCATCACCCAAGGGAGTCTTCCTGGCACCACATCCTCCCTCTTCCATCCCTGCTGCTAATAACTTTCCTGGGTCAGACCCGGAATGGGTCATCCAGCTGCCAAGCAGGTCCCTTTACGGAAACCCTCCACCACTGTCATATTGCTCTTCCTGTAATGCAGCGCTCGCAGCTTAACCCTTCCTTACTCCCCATGCCTTGGGTCAAGGGCAAACGCTCCTCAGCATGATGAACAAGGCCCTCATAACTTGGTTTCAGCCACCTCTGCCGGCCCAATGTCTGCTTCTCCCACCATGCCAGACTGCTTGCAGTTCTGAGACTCGCTCTGCTGCCTCCCATCTCTAGGCTTTTGCAGGTACTGTGCCTTCTGCCTGAAATGTGCTCACCTCACCTAACTGACTCCTACTGACCAGTCAGTGCTCCCCCCAAGTTTCTTCCCCCAGGAGATTTCTTCACAGACGTTACCCTCCCCCATTTGCTGCATTTCTTCATGCCTTCTCCTTCAGCACGATTCTGCTTCTCATAGGGTAATCTCTATTTAAAATCCGACACCTCCAATTGAGTGTAGGATCCTTGAGGGCTGGCCTTGCATGTCTCTGTGTGTCCCCCTCCTCTTGCAGACTATCTGGCAGACAGCAGGTATTCAGTAAATACTGGTGGAATAAACAAATCTCTCCTATCTCCTAGACATTAGTTAATGCAAAGTAGATGCTCAAAGAGATTTCTTTTGTTTGATTTTTGATGGTACTGCTGAATCTGATGTTATAAAAGCCACATTTGGCCAAGCACAGTGGCTCACACCTGTCATCCCAGCACTTTGGGAGGCTGAGGCAGGTGGATCACCTGAGGTCAGGAGTTCGAGACCAGCCTGACCAACATGGAGAAACCCCATCTCTACTAAAAATACAAAATTAGCTGGGCATGGTGGTAATCCCAGCTATTGGGGAGGCTGAGGCAGGAGAATTGCTTGAACCCAGGAGGCAGAGGTTGCAGTGAGCCGAGATCATGCCACTGCACTCCAGCCTGGGCAGCAAGAGCAAAACTCCGTTTCAAAAAGAAAAAAAGCCACATTTGTACCTCAGTCCAGAGTGAATCCAGCTCCCCACTTGAGATCGTGATGGCCACATATTCCCAAGATCTCAGACACCAGGCCTCTCCACAGGCAAGAGCTCATGCATTTAAACAATAGCATTAAGGCCGGGCGCGGTGGCTCAAGCCTGTAATCCCAGCACTTTGGGAGGCTGAGGCGGGTGGATCACGAGGTCGAGAGATCGAGACCATCCTGGTCAACATGGTGAAACCCCATCTCTACTAAAAATACAAAAAATTAGCTGGGCATGGTGGCACGTGCCTGTAATCCCAGCTACTCAGGAGGCTGAGGCAGGAGAATTGCTTGAACCCAGGAGGCGGAGGTTGCGGTGAGCCGAGATCGAGCCATTGCACTCCAGCCTGGGTAACAAGAGTGAAACTCCGTCTCAAAAAAAAAACCAAAAAAACAAAAAAACAATAGCATTAAATAGTTCAGCCAGATTTACTTTTAAGCAAAACATTCAGGGAGTAACGAACGTGGCTTTAGCTAAGGGCCAGGTGCTTGAGGATAATTGCTGGGTAGTGAAGCAGGGATCAAAATAATTGATACCATTTATTGAGGGCTTAGTATATGACAGGTGCCCTCTGCCAACCGTTTTACCTACATTATCTGATTTAATCCTCCCCACAACCCTGTGAGTTAGGTATTAGTTGCCCCCACTTGATAGATGAGGAAATTGAGGCTTAGAGGGATTAAGTAAATCACCCAAGGGTCACACAGCTGCTAATGATCAAAACTAACACTTTGTGGGAACTTTCCGTGTGCAGAGACTGCTAAGCTTTGTCCATGAATTTTTTGGGGAAGGAACATAATCCTTATAACAACCCTAGGAGGTAGGTGCTATTACTAGAAGAGAAAGAACTGGAATCTGTGCCCAGGTCCTTTGCCACCAATGTCTAGTGCTTAACCAGTGAGCTTATGTGTCCAGAATTCCACACGGAAAGCTCTGCAAGCATTCATCCTCCCGGGCGTAGATCCACATGCCTGGGGGTGGAGGCTGGTGAACACCCATGCCCAGCCCTGCCAAGAATGTATTGTCATGAAATCTGTTAAATTCTTTTTTCTTAAATATGAGTAGATACAGATAACTTTTTTTTTCTTTTTTTTGAGACAGAGTCTCACTCTGTCAACCAGACTAAAGTGCAGTGGCATGAGCTCGGCGCACTGCAACCTCTGCCTCCCGGGTTCAAGCGATTCTCCTGCCTCAGCCTCCCAAGTAGCTGGGACTACAGGCATGTGTCACCACACCCAGCTAATTTTTGTATTTTTAGTAGAGACGGGCTTTCACCATGTTGACTAGGTTGGTTTCAATCTCTTGACCTCGTGATCCACCTGCACTCAACACTTCTCCTTCAGCACTCCCAAAGTGCTGGGATTACAAGTGTGAGCCACCGTACCTTTTTTTTTTTTTTTAGAGACAGAATCTCTCCGTCACCCATGCTGAAGAGCATTGGCTTGAGTATAGCTCACTGCAGCCTTAACCTGCTGGGCTCCAGCAATCCTCCTGCCTCAGCCTTCCAAGCAGCTAGGACTACAGGTGTGCACCACTATGCCTTGCTAATTTTTAAAAAGTTTTGTTGAGAAGGGCTCTCGATATGTTGTGCAGGCTGGTCTCGAACTCCTGGGCTCAAGTGATCCTTGAATCTCAGCCTCCCAAAGTGCTGGGATTATACCATGCCTGGCCAAGAAATAGTTATAAAATATGTGTAGGGTATAAAGAATTACAGTTCACCAGCAGCCATCATCCACTTCGAGGAAAAAAACACTTCGAAGTCCCCTGTTACCCATCTCTAATCCTGTTCCTTTTTCTTCACCTTCAGAAACTGATTATATCATTTCCTTAGCTTTCTCTTCTGGGGGGATGTTGGGGGCGGAGTCTTGCTCTGTTGCCCAGGCTGGAGCACAGTGGCGTGATCCCAGCCTATATTTTTAGTAAAGACGGGGTTTCACCATGTTGGCCAGGCTGGTCTTTTTAGCTTTCTCTATAGCTTTATCACATATTTGTATTCATGAACAAGATATTGTTTCGTTTTAGCGTGATTATACATCTTCTATAAGTGGAATCATACTATGTATCCTTTTGTCACTTGCTTTTTTCATCCAACATCACATTCACGTTGTTGCATGGAGAACTGGTTCATTCTTTGTCATCACTGTAGAGAACTGCATGGTCTGGGTATTTTCCACTTTATTTATCCATTCTGCTGGTGGACTTATAGGTTTTACCAGTTTGTTGCCATTTTAGTCAGTGTTGCTATAAATGTTCTTGCACATGCCTCTTGGTTTGCATGTACCAGAGTTTGTCTGGGATATAAAATGAGGAGTGGAATTGCTGGCTCAGGCTGTGCTCATTTTAAATTTTGCTTGGTAATACCTAGTTGTTTCCCAAAGCAGTTAATAACGAATTCAATCTCATGAGTTTAACAATGAAATCTCATGAGTTTAATGATTAAATCTCAGGTAGTGTTTCAGTGTTCCAGTGACTCCAGGTCCATGAATGTTAGAATCTTAGGGCAGGAAAGAAACACTGCCTCCAGTCTCCTCCTTTTACGGATGAAGGAAATTTAGACATGGGAAAGTTGTGGTCATTAAGGTGATGCCACCACTCAGCAACAGAGCCTGGCCTCGAACCCCCAGCACCCGACTCCCTCCTTACCCTGTCTTGGCTCACTTCTCTCTCATCCCCTCCTTTCTCAGGCTGAGGCCCCAGCTTGTGGCCACCACGACGTATCAAGCAATTTCCAGTGTTGGGCTCAGGACTAGGAGCTAACGCGGCTGGGGTCCTCCTTGGCTCTGGAGGATGAGGCTCCTCCGCAGACGCCACATGCCCCTGCGCCTGGCCATGGTGGGCTGCACCTTTGTGCTCTTCCTCTTCCTCCTGCAGAGGGATGTGAGCAGCAGGGAGCAGGCCACAGAGAAGCCATGGCTGAAGTCCCTGGTGAGCCAGAAGGATCACGTCCTGGACCTCATGCTGGAGGCCGTGAACAACCTTAGAGATTCAATGCCCAAGCTCCAAATCAGGGCTCCAGAGCCCCAGCAGACTCTGTTCTCCACAAACCAGTCCTGCCTTCCTGGGTTCTACACCCCAGCTGAACTGAAGCCCTTCTGGGAACGGCCACCACAGGACCCCAATGGCCCTGGGGCAGATGGGAAAGCATTTCAGAAAAGAAAGTGGACCCCCCTGGAGACCCAGGAAAAGGAAGAAGGCTTTAAGAAACACTGCTTCAATGCCTTTGCCAGTGACCGGATCTCCCTGCAGAGGTCCCTGGGGCCAGACACACGACCCCCTGAGTAAGTAGCACTCAGTCCTTGAGGGGAGACCAGGGCTTTGCTAAAGGCATGGCTGGTCCGTCCAGGGCCACGGGTCAAGGGCTCGAGAAAGCCTTGAAAGGGATTTTATGCCAGGCGTGCCTGTAATCCCAGCACTTTGGGAGGCCAAGGTGGGTGGATCACCTGAGGTCAGGAGTTTGAGACCAGCCTGACCAACATGGAGAAACCCCATCTCTACTAAAAATACAAAATTAGCTGGGCTTGGTGGCGCATGCCTGTAATCCCAGCTACTCAGGAGACCGAGGCAGGAGAATCGCTTGAACCTGGGAGGTGAAGGTTGTGGTGAGCTGAGATCGCACCAGTGTACTCCAGCCTGGGCAACAGGAGTGAAACTCTGTCTCAAACAATAAAAAAGAAGAAAGTGATTTTATAATATGGGCAAGGATCTCCTTTGTGCCTCACTTCTTTCCCAGAACAACTATGCTGATCCCAGGGGTTGTGGTGCAAGGGTCAGGCCAGAGGCCCGGGGAGACCTGTTAGAGCAAAGCGCAGTTGTGAAAGTGAGATGATGCAGAGGAGGGGACTCAGCCTGGCCCCAGGACCTGGCATGGGGTGACTGGGGAGAGCTGATAGCAGGCTGTGGTTTCCATAGTCTTCCCCTCTACTGAGGCCTGCCCCAGAGACTGTGGGACTCTAATGCTGAGCTGTTTGGAGAGGGGACTTTTCTTGACAGCAGCCCTGGTGGTCAGAAATATCCTCACACCTCCTTGTTTCCTCCATGAAGGCCCGCAAGGCCGCGAATTGATTCCAACCTTTATTTAAAGTTTATAGCCTTAACCTTGCACAGTGAGATAGCACTTAGATCTTTGAGCGGCAGTCTCTCCCTCTCATGCCTCCATGGCTGCCTTCCCATGATCCTCAAGTTAAAGACAGGATGTCTTTCTCACTTAGCCTTTGTCTTTTCCAGCTTAAGAGTTATACCCAGCCAGGCGCGGTGGCTCAAGCCTGTAATCCCAGCACTTTGGGAGGCTGAGGCGGGTGAATCACGAGGTCAAGAGATCGAGACCATCCTGGTCAACATGGTGAAACCCCGTCTCTACTAAAAATACTAAAAATTAGCTGGGCATGGCGGCGCGTGCCTGTAATCCCAGCTACTCAGGAGGCTGAGGCAGGAGAATTGCTTGAATCCAGGAGGCGGAGGTTGCGGTGAGCCGAGATCGCGCCATTGTACTCCAGCCTGGGTAACAAGAGCGAAACTCCGCCTCAAAAAAAAAAAAAAAAAAAAAAAAAAAAAAAAAAAAAGAGTTATACCCTATTTGGCTTCTTCTCAAATGGCAGCCCTCATCCCCAGATTCATGAGTCTTTAGAGCTGTGAACCTGTGGTTCTTGAGACTTGAGCCAAGTATTATAGCCTTAGAACAGGGGGCCACTTGGAGCTATCAGGAGTTCCTCAACAGAGAAGGGCACTGGGGCCAGGTACAGTGGCTCATGCCTGTAATTCCAGCACTATGGGAGGCTGAGGTGGGCAGATCACTTGAGCCCAGGAGTTCAAGACCAGCCTAGCCAGCATGGTGAAACCTTGTCTCTACTAAAAATACAAAAAAAAAAAAAAAATAGCCTGGCATGGTAGTGCATGCCTGTAATCCCAGCTACTCGGGAGGCTGAAGCATGAGAATCGCTTGAACCTGGGAGGCAGAGGTTGCAGGGAGCTGAGATTATGCCACTGCACTCCAGCCTGGCAACAGAGCCAGACTCCATCTCAAAAAAAAGAGAGAGAGAAGAGTACTGGGTTGTGACAGCAGCCAGTGGAGGAAGCCGGGGAATCTCTCTGGAGGGTCCTCAAGAAATCCTCTGACCAGCAGAGGTCAGAAAAGGGTGTTAGGTCACATGATTCCTTGAGATCCAGGATTCACATATTCTCCTGAAATGGAGTGTCAAGAAGGTAGCAGCGTGGCCACGTGCCACAGAGTGGCTGGAGTGGATAAGGATTGAAGAAAGTTTGCAGGAAGTTGGCTGTGAGAGCAGTGTCAGATCACAGGGAGTTAATGAGAGAGGGATTAAAGAGGAACTGTACATTGTAAAGGGAAGAGCCGTTTCTTTTCATTGAGTATGGAAATCATAGTCACTTTTCTCAGATGTCAAATTTGGCCTTTATTACCTAGCCCTCTGGGACCTCTGGATTCGATTACATTTTATGCAGTTCACATATTACGGAGGAAGAGGACCAGCCCTGGGAACTCCTAGTCTGAGAGCAGACAGCAGAGGAGGGAAGCGGGTGGAGGAGCCTCAGCATCACAGCTGGGGCACTGCGCCAGCTCTGCGGGGATGGATTCTGAAGTGGTTTGGCTGCAGAGGCTGAGGGTGGGTGGCAGATATTGAGGGAGACAGGAACGGGGAGCAGCTGTTCCCACCTGCTACAGAGAATGTAGGTGGCCATTCAGAGGAGTGGAGGATGGTTTAGGGGAATCTCTGGATGGGGCCCTCCCACACCAGGCACTCTCAAGGCTCAGGAGAAATTTGTTCATACTTTCATACTTCCAGGTGTGTGGACCAGAAGTTCCGGCGCTGTCCCCCACTGGCCACCACCAGCGTCATCATTGTGTTCCACAACGAGGCCTGGTCCACGCTGCTGCGGACAGTGTACAGCGTCCTACACACCACGCCTGCCATCTTGCTCAAGGAGATCATACTAGTGGATGATGCCAGCACTGAGGGTGAGGCTGGGGGGGCCCAGAGGAGGGGGCTGGGGTCTCCCCTGGGCACTCAAAGGAGGAAAGCAGGTCTTTCAACAGAGCAGGCACCACCTCCCAGCCCACTGCCTGGCATCACAGCTCATCATAAAGGCCAGGAGCAGGAAGAAATCAGGTGGGGGACAGGTAGCCCATGCTTCCTTCACGCCTCAGCCAAAGAGCTCCAAGGGCTTTTCAGCTTTGGCTTCAAGACTCCCTGAAGGCTGCCACTGGCCAACCCTAACTCAGAAATGCTGGGAAAGCTGGGGCGGAGGGTAGGGACAGGACTTCACCTCTGTTTCCTACCTGCCGGCCACTCTTCTGCTCTTGAAGACTCCCCCATCAGCCATTTTTGCCTAAGGGGGGTTGCTCACCAAACTTCCAGCCTTCAATTCCATAAACATCTACTGAGTACTATGTGCCTGGCTCTGACCCAGGCAGAGGGGATCTGTTTCATGTCTCATCTGTCCCAGGCAGAGGGGCATGTGGTGTCTGGGGCTCTCCCAGGTTGACCTCCTGTGCTCAAACTCCCAATAGTAAGGGCACCCACTCCAGTAGAGCTGCTGCCTGTCCTTGCCTTCCCCCAGCCTCCCTCCTTCCCCTAGGTTAGGCTGAAGAGAGGACTAGGGCTGTGGAAGGGAGTGGAAGAGCAAGCTGAATGTGACATGACAAATGAGACAGATCCTGCCCTAAAAATACTAACAACCCCATAGGTCAGAAGACCTCTTACGACACCAGCCACACTGCTGTGGCTGTGATGCTCCTGTACCAGGTGTGAGGGCATGGACTGCAGAGTCCAATACCCAGGAATTCAAATCCCAGCTCTGTCCCTTCCTAGCTCTGTGACCTTGGACAAGCATTTGCCCTCCCTGAACCTGTTTCCTCTTCAAAAAATGAGGGCAGGCTGGGCACGGTGGCTCAAGCCTGTAATCTCAGCAGTTTGGGAGCCTGAAGCAGGCAGATCACTTGAGGTCAGGAGTTTGAGACTCCTAGCCAACATAGTAAAACCCCATCTCTACCAAAAATACGAACAGTAATTAGCCGTGTGTGGTGGTATGCACCTGTAGACCCAGCTACTTGGGAGGCTAAGGCATGAGAATCTCCTGAACCCAGGAGGTGTAGGCTGCAGTGAGCTGAGATTGCACTACTGCATTCCCACCTAGGTAACAGAGTGAAACTCCATCTAAAAAAAAAAAAAAAAAAAGGCCAAGCATGATGGCTCATGCCTGGTATCTCAGCACTTTGGGAGGCTAAGGCAGGCAGATCACTTGAGGTCAGGAGTTCAAGACCAGACTGGCCAACATGGTGAAACCCCATCTCTATTAAAAATACAATTAGCCAGGTGTGGCAGCATGTGCCTGTAGTCCCAGGTATTCAGGAGGCTGAGGCAGAAGAATCACTTAAACCGAGAAGTGGAGGTTGTAGTGAGCTGAGATCGCACCACTGCTCTCCAGCCTGGGCTACAGAGCGAGATTCCATCTCAAAAAAAAAAAAAAAAAAAAAAAAAAAAAAGAGCAGTTGACTCCCTTACATGGGGGGTTAGGGATCTGATATAGGTCATAAATGAGATTCGTGTGCCACAGAGTGGCTGGCATCAAGTGAGAGGACTATAAGTATGTATTCCATTTTATTAATGGTATGGGGACAATGCACCTTGGAGTATGTAGCCAAGAGGTGCTATTTTTGCCTGATGTGGCTAGGGCTGGTCCTCAGTGGAGGCCAGATTGGAGCTGGGCCTTAAAGGATGAGTGTCTAGGAGAGAAGAGTGGATGAAGGGCATTCCCACAAGAGAACAGCATAAGCACAGTCCTAAAGACATGAATCTGTTTGCTAAAGAGATCTGGTGTGGCTGAAGCTCTCTTTCTTTGTTATAAGAAATGAGACTTAAAAGATGTTAAATTGGCTGGGCACAGTGGCTCACGCTTATAATCCCAGCACTTTGGGAGGCCAAGGTGGGTGGATCGCTTGAGCCCAGAAGTTGGAGACAGCCTGGGCAACATGGCAAGACCTTGTCTCTATAAAAATTACAAAAATTAACCTAGCATGGTGGCATGTGCCTATAGTCCCAGCTACTTGGGAGGCTGAGACAGAGTGCTCAAAAAAAAAATTGTTGAATTGACATTCATGTCATGCTAAAAGCTTTTATTTAAAAAAAAAAAAAGCCAGGAGTGGTGGCTCACACCTGTTATCCCAGCACTTTGGGAGGCTAAGGCAGGCGGATCACGAGGTCAGGAGTTTGAGACCAGCCTGACCAACATGATAAAACTCCACTTCTACTAAAAGTACAAAAATTAGCTGGGCGTGGCAGTGCATACCTGTAATCCCAGCAACTCAGGAGGCTGAAGCAGGAGAATAGCTTGAATCCAGGAGGTAGAGGTTGCAGTGAGCCGAGATTGTGCCACTACACTCCAACCTGGGCGACAGAGCGAGACTCCGAAAAAAAAAAAAAAGTAAGGAGGAGTCATTAAAATTGTGACCTCATTTCAGAAGGCTGGCAGCTTTGGAGGAGGATAATCAGCAGGAAGAGAGGCAGAAGACTCACAGTCTGGAGAGGAAGATCTTATACTCTTGAGAGGAGGAGATGATGGGGCTGGAACTAGGAAAGGCTGTGGGACTGAGGCACCTTTAGGTTGGGAGTCTCCCTAAGCTGAGCCCTCCTCGCAGGAGGCATGTGGTGTCTGGGGCTCTCCCAGGTTGACCTCCCGTGCTCAAACTCCCAATAGTGAAGGCACCCACTTGAGTAGAGCTGCTACCTGTCCTTGCCCTCCCCCAGCCTCCCTCCTGCCTCTAGGTTAGGCTGAAAAGAGGACTGGGGCTATGGAAGGGAGTGGAAGAAAGGGCTGAGTGTGAGCTCTGTTGAGTTCATTTCTTCAGGGAGCTCACATCTTCCCAGGGAGGACAGATACTTGGCAGCAATTACAAAGCAAAGCAAGGCCAGCCTGGGCAGCATAACAAAATCCCATCTCTAGAAAAGGTAAAAAAAAATTAGCAGGCATGGTGGTATGTGTCTGTAGCCCCAGCTACTTGGGAGGCTGAGGTGGGAGGATCACTTGAACCCAGGAGGTCGAGGCTGTGGTGAGCTGTGATTCCAGCACTGCACTCCAGCATGGATGACAGAGTGAGACCCTGTCTCTAAAAAAAGATACAAAATAAAGTAAAATAAGCTAAGCACAGTAGTTCATGCCTGTAATCCCAGAACTTTGGGAGGCCGCAGGAGGAGGCCGCAGCTTAGGCCAGGAGTTCGAGACCAGCCTGGGCAATGTAGCAAGACCCTGTCTCTACAAAAAATAGAAGAGTTTGCTGGGCACATTGGCAGTGTGCCTGTGGTCCCAGCTACTTGGAAGGCTGAGGTGAGAGGCTTGAGCCCAGGAGGCTGAGACTGCAGTGAGCCTTGACTGCACCACTGCACTCCAGCCTAGGCAACTGAGTGAGACCCAGTCTCTAAAAAAAATTAACAAATAAATCAAGGCAAGCAAGTATCAGGGATGCAATGACAGGATCTAGTGGACAAGGAATGTATAGATTAGGCTTCTGGAAAGGGAAGGGTGAAGAGTTTGGCAGAGATGGGAGGAGCTTGGCAGTGGTCTCTAGGGAATCTTTGTGGCAATGGAATGGGTATATGGAATGGGAGCAAGCATATCAGCAGTCCTTCCTCTCAAACTGGGTTCTTTCATTCTCTTTCTCCTCCCAGTCCTATGCTCCCCATCCTTTGGAAGCTCTTTCACCTGAATCCCTTATACTGGAGTGTATTAGTCCATTCTCACACTGCTGTAAGGACATACTCAAGGTCATTTATAAAGGAAAGAGGTTGAATTGACTCACAGTTCTGCAGGGGTGGGGAGACCTCAGGAAACTTACAATCGTGGCAGAAGCAGAAGCAAACATGTCCTTCTTGAGGCGTTAGGAGAGAGAAGAATGAGAGCCAACCAAAGGGGAAAGCCGGCCGGGCGCGGTGGCTCAAGCCTGTAATCCCAGCACTTTGGGAGGCCGAGGTGGGTGGATCACGAGGTCGAGAGATCGAGACTATCCTGGTCAACATGGTGAAACCCTGTCTCTACTAAAAATACAAAAAATTAGCTGGGCATGGTGGCACGTGCCTGTAATCCCAGCTACTCAGGAGGCTGAGGCAGGAGAATTGCCTGAACCCAGGAGGCGGAGGTTGCAGTGAGCCGAGATCGCTCCATTGCACTCCAGCCTGGGTAACAAGAGTGAAACTCCGTCTCAAAAAAAAAAAAAAAAGGGGAAAGCCCCTTAAAAAGCCATCAGATCTCGTGACAACTTACTGTCACAACGATAGCTTGGTGGAAACTGCCCCTATGATCCAGTTACCTCTCACCACATGTGCAGATTATGGGACCTATAATTCAAAATGAGATTTGGGTGGGGACACAGCCAAACCGTATCATTTCACCACTAGCCCCTTCCAAAACTCCTGTCCTCACATTTCAAAACACAATCATGCCTTTCCAACAGTCCCACCCAAAGTCTTAGCTCGTTTCAGCATTAACCCAAAAGTCCAAAGCCAAAGTCTCATCTGAGACAAGGCAAGTCCCTTCCCCTATGAGCCCATAAAATCAAAAGCAAGTTAGTCACTTCCTAGATACGATGGAGGTATAGGCAATGCGTAAATACGCCCATTTGAAATGGGAGAAACTGGCCAAAACAAAGAGGCTACAGGCCCCATGCAACTCCAAGATCCAGTAGGGCACTCATTAAGCCTTAAAGGTTCCAAAGTGCTCTTTTTTGACTTCATGTCTCACATCCAGGTCATGCTGATGCAAGAGGTGGGCTCCCACAGCCTTGAGCATAGGGGTTCTAAACTGTTAACTTATCACCCCAAATTTTGTGAGTCCATGAGCTACAAGTGCCCAGGTAGGCAACTCCTCTGACCAGCTAGACAAGCAACATAATGCCAGGCTGGTACAGGCAGCATCTAACAGGCAGAGCAGCCTGTGTTCAGTAGGGCAGAGTTGCCAGTAACCCCA